CCCTCCTGACAGCCTTTTCAACAATATCTATGATACTGTGATGGTTTCTGACCTCAAATCGGGAGTCTATTGAAAAGTTCAAGTTATGGACCCTGTGGGTTTGATAAGAGATATTTTCCTCTCATTCAGTCATCTTTATTATTATTTTTAAATAATGTCCCTTAACCACTTGCCATTGTAAGTAATTCTGGCAGTTAACTGTGAAGTGTGTCATTTGAAGGAACATGGTGTGAGTATTCACCGCAGTCATTCTAACCAGTTTTTGGCACAGTATTAACACGGTATGAAGGAGCTAACGACTTTTTCTATTTACACAGTATTCTTTAGAATAATTTTATATGGCTTATAAAGGTTGGCATTTTGTATTTTATAGATATTTCACTGGCATTTAAGTAACTAGGCATTTCTAACACTGCATTTTGTGGGGCAATTATCAACAGTTGTGTAGTATTACAAGAAATTACTATACTATAGGCATTAGTGTAGCTAATTGAGGGAAAGAGTCATTGAGGGAATAGGACAAGAGTTGCACAGGCATATTTGAATAAGACACAACTGGCTCCTTGGGTCAGATAATGCAGATGTTAGTCAATGTGCTTTTAGGAGTAAAGTAGGACTTTTAAAGTGAAAGGCTCTATTTACGTTGTAATTACAAAGAAAACTGCACATAAATACTTTGCTTGGTATTGACGCATTGTCACATTTTCTCCCTGCATTTTCTGTTCTTTGTTTTATTGGTTATATGTCAAAGGGACCTCACTAATTGTAGTTTAATTTTTGTTTGTATATTTGCCTTACATAACCTTTACTTTCCATCCTATCCTATGAACAGGTATTTAATTTGTATTTTTCTTGTGTAGAATTTTAATTTGAGATATAGCAATGCTAATGAAATCTTGAATGTTAATAAAGTATTTACTCCACATTTTGAATTTTCAGTGTGGTCTGTGCTCAAATTATTTAAATGCCACATTTCCTGGTATTTACAGCCTGTGAATATACTTCAATATATCTTGTAAGACATGGTTATAAAAAACAAAATAAAACCACAACCATATATACTGATAGATGGTTGACAACCTAAATTTTTCCATTAATTTAATGCATCAAAGTAAACCAATTTCAACTTATGAGATTTAACTAGAACGGATTCTAA